CTGTGAGGCTAGGGGCCGATTCACGGGACTCACTGCTAGCCTGGCAGACAAGCGGAGATTTTGTCTCAAAAAAAAAAATAAAAATAAAAAACGTCAGGAGGTTGAGACCAGCCTAAGCAAGAGCGAGACCCCATTTCTACAAAATAGAAAAAAATTAGCCCGGCATGATGGTGCACACCTGTAGTCCCAGCTACTCAGGAGGCTGAGGCAGGAGGATGCCTTGAGCCCAGGAGTTTGAGGTTGCTGTGAGCTAGGCTGACACCACCATACTCTAGCCTAGGCGACAAAATGAAACTCTGTCTTAAAAAAAAAAAAAAAGAAAAGAAAAGAAAGAAAGAAAGAGCAGCAGAGGCACGATGATGGTAGGGCTTGATGCCAGCAGAGGAGGAGGTGAGAAGTAGTCTCAGGTCCCACACCGAAAGTGGGGCTAGCAGTGTTTCCCTGCGCTCAGCCAACTTCTCTTTCTAAACCCTCTCTGGGTGATCCCATGGTTTAAACCAGTGTTTCTCAACCTTCATAATTTACTTGCAGAACTTTAAAAAATGGATTTGTGGGTCCAACTCCAGAGATTGTGATATAGTAGATCTTACCTGAAATTTGGCATTTCCAACAAGTTCCTGGGTGATGCTGGCCTGCTGGCAAACACACTGTCCTTTGGGTAGCCTGGCGTAGACTACCATCTGCAGCCAGATAACACGCAAACCATTAAGGTTGAAATCCTGGCATGTATCTCACTGTGTGCCAGAAATCACCTTCTAGAATTGACACCATTTTTTTTCAAGCTCAACACTTGAAACGTCCAAATTCAAGTCATTGTTCCCCCGATACGTCTGCTCCTTCTTCAGTACTCTCAGTTAGTGGTGGCACCAAGGTCACCCTCATCTTTCACATCCCTCCAATCACCAAGTCGTGTCAATTTCACCTAAATATTTCTAAAGTCTGAACACCTCTTTCTCTCTTTATTATGAGTGTTCTAGTTCGAGCCTAACCAGTGTCCTAGTGGGTTTTGTTCATATCAGATGCATCCACACCAGTTTATCAGTGAATCATGTGAAACATAAAGCTGAGCACATCCTTCCTTTAATCTCAATGGCTCTTCATCTCTGACAGGTTCAAGGCCGAGGTCTTTATTGTCGTGGCATAAGGGGTCCATCGTGATCTGGACCCTGTGCCTGCCCCACTCCGGGCACACTTCTCATCCTTACGTAACTTGCATTTTACATTCCAGCCAACTTGAGCTGCTTCCTTGTAACTCCCTGCACATACCACACCATTTTAGGGATGCCATGTCATTGCTCATGCTTCTGCCCTGCCTCCAACGCCTTCTCTTCCACTCCCGACCCTTCCCCCGTCAACTACCCCACGCCTGCTCTTCTTTGAGACTGAGCACTGCAGCCACTTCCTCCAGGAAGCCCTCCTCGACAATCTCACCTGTGCTCCCAAAATACCCCACGTGTATTTTCCTTTCCTAGGCTCACAAAGAGGTTTAAAGCTGTTTAATTTCTACTTCCTCTATTACATCATTAACTACTTAAGGTCCTGTTTATCTCTGTACCTTTACACACATCCTGGCTTATAACCAGGAATGATTAAGTGTTTGTTAAATTTAAAAATGAGCCTTTATGCCAAGGCTAGGAAATGCTGCATAATGTAGCACACTATGCCATCTATAGGGTGAAAAGAAGAAAGAGAAGAGTTGGTCTCAGCGCCCCTTGCTGACATGTGTCATGATCGTACTCACTCTCACCAAGGCAACCCTGGGGCCACACGACACTGTCACCAGAGTACAGAGATTGGGGTGGGGTGCATGTATAGCTGCCTAAGTTAGACACATAGATTTCTGCTGAAGGATTTTACTCAAATTCTTCCACGATTCAGTCAAGTATTATACTACGCATTCCAAGGAATAAAAGATATGTAATAAACAACCCTTTCCTCAAGCACTTTATATCTGAGTGGAAAAGTAAGTCTAAAATTCAGAAAATAATCACTTAACAATACAAATCAGCGTTTACCATGATGCTAAATTGTATTGTATAAATAAACCATGAACGCTCTGGGAATTCAGAAGAAAACTACCGTATTCGTCCTAGATTGGCGGTGGAAAGTTCCAAGAGAGGGGAAGGTAATATTTGAGATATACATAGTCTGATCATGGGCACTTAGATGAAAATGGCTCTCTGCAGTAATTCCAATATTTGCTACACAGTGATAAGGGTCAAAATTTAATGTGGAAGTGATGATTTTTTTTAGTGTGGACCTTTTATTGAGCACTTACTCAGAGGAGGGAATTCTGCTTAATGCTTTATTGCATATCGTTTCAACCCTTGCAGCAACACTGACGACTAGTACCATGCCTCTTTTACAGAACAGAAAACTAAGGCTCGGAGAAATGAAACCACTGGCCCACACAGCCCCACTGACAGTAGGAAACAGAGCCAGGATGTCTGCCTTAACCACACCTCTCCCCTCCATCCGGCTTCTGTGACTGCTAAACACACCTGAACACACCTCAGAACAGATAGCTTTCAGGGCAGAAAGCCTTCTCTGAGAGTCTCTATGTGTAGCCTCCCACAAATATGTCTGTGCAAAAAGGGGAAGTCTCAACAGTCAGTAGTCATTTGTCACTTTTTCGGGCTCCATAGCAAAGGTACGGCCCCATGGAAGATTTGGTCTGAATTTACCCTTTGGTTGTATCCTTACAACCCAAGGGAAAAGCTGGAGAGTACTTGAAAGTTTGATCATTTTTCTGGAAATTCTTATGCAGGTTCCCAAGTTATGTTGATTTCATTCGACATTACAATGCTAAGGTACTTAGAGTAAGAGCATTCCTCTGAACACGACAGGCATTTTCTTGCATTGGCAGAAGTTGAGCTATAGGGAAGCGAGTCTCAGTGAATAACACATCTTTGTCAGCACAGGCTAGAAGTGGAGGGTCTGCCGTTTTAATTCCTTAAAGGAGTCTCTTCTTCCTAGTTTTCCTACCTAATAAATATACATGAATGATAACCTGCAACAGACAAATGGTCATTTGTCTACCAGAAATGGTCATTTCAGATAGCCCCCTGCACTGACTGTGATGTTAGGAGATATTTTAGGAAATCATGGCAGTTGTTTTCTAACTTACTGAAAGTCCATTGCTAAATCACCCTGAAGAGTATCTAAATTAGTAATAATTAGTCTTTTTGAAATCAGAGATCTCTTTGAGAATTTGATAAAATTATGAATGCTCTCTCTTCCCCAAATAACACACTCACACACACACACATGTGCCCCCATGTGCTGTATCTATACATAATGATTTTACAGATTTCTGGGGGCTTCCATACCCTCCACTGTCTGTGTCTAAAGCACTATGTTAAGGAAAGTTGTGAGGATACACTGGAGTCGGTAGGAAAAAAAAAATATATCAGGTTTGACTAATGATATGTTCCCTATCAGGATGAGAAATGAGTGGTGGCATGTAGCTCATGAATTTACCATTTCTGATTTGTAAACTTACCTCCTTGCTCCAGTTATTTTGACTGTCTGTCTCCTCATTAGAACATAAGTTCCACAAGGCGACAGAGATGTCATCGCTATCTACTGCTACACACCAGAGCCTAGAAGAGGACCTGGAAGAAAAGAGGTGCTTAACAAATATTATTGAATGAATAAATGTTTTCCTTCTTGAGGGTACAAAGCTGCAAAATTTACTGCCTTCTGTGTCAATTAGTATTTGCTTCTATTTATAATAAAGTTATACACATTGTTCTAAGGGCTATCTTCTGTCTATATTATTTTGAATAAAATATTATTATTATTAATTTATTATTAAATAAATAATATTTATTCCATATTATTTATGGGATAAAACTATATTAGATTTTTAGTACCTTATTAATGTTTATTATATATTGTTTTCCTTTTTAAATTGTTCTAGATTAATCTCTTTTTCACACCAAATGACCACCACTCTCTTCATCAGTCACTTCCATTGACTCTAAGAATAAGATAAATCCTGTGATTTGAACTTACAAAATGGAGAGAAGAAAATGAAGTACGTTTAGGTGAAAACAAAGCAAATGTCAGTTGTCTCCAAATATATGTACTTGATTAGTCAGTCCTAAACGTACTGTTATAGTGTAAATACTGAATATTGAAATAATAGTATAAATAAGCAGTTATATTTGGCAGCAGTAATGGGAATGTATACAATAAATGTGGTTCAGAGACTTAAAAACTGTCTCCTCCAATGGTTTAAACATGGCCTCTGCAACTTGTTCCCAGTTAAATTACTCCATAAACCATTTCCTCAAATATGGTACAAAGTCAATTTTAGCACTTGTTAAAATGTCACAAATGCTGAGTTAGAAGACTACGCATTAATGAAGTTTTACTTGAGTTTGTAATTGCATTTCTCGGTTTCATCAAAGGCAGTCCTTTAGCTAGTTTGTTTGTTTCCTTTGAAGAAAAATCAGCAAAAACCATAACAAACAACATTTGACTGTTTGTGGTGCAATACGAAGCTACATCTTGAAATCATAACCCGTAAAACTTCAAAAACCTGTTTAAGGACACACTTTTAAATTTAGGACCAAGTGTACGCAGTTAACATGCAAAAATTTCTTAGCACGCTACAGTCACTGCCAGCAAACTTTCAACATATCTGGCTGATAAGGAAGCTGGCAGGGACCCAACAGGAACAGAAGTTAGTGGTACGAAGTAAAGCCTATGTGAATTCATTGCTACTAGTTTTAGGCTACCCGCCTCAGTAGGCTGATGCACTGAGATGACCTGATTTTCAGACATGTCTGCACAATTATTCACGATACCCGTGGCTATAGGCTCCACACTCTTGCGTGCACGTTCCTGCTTCTCCACGTCACATGGGCTGTCATGCTCCCACTTGTGCCGTTAATTGACAAGACTGCTGCTCAAGTTGGCTGATCAAGAGATAGGCAGTGCAAAGGAACAGGATTTGAGGCAGCCCAGGGTTTCCTCTTCAAGTAGGTTTAAAACATTTTTTTTTTCTCCCTAACTTCCTTCCTGTTCTAACTGCCAGTACACAGAAGTCAGAGTTGAGAGACAGAGGCACCCCGGACAGAGACGTGAAGCACTGAATGTAAGTTCGAATATCTCGAGCGGGGGAGGCTTCAGGTGGGCACAGAGCGAAGGAGGAAATCTCTGAGCTAGGCTGCCACTCTCTGCAGTTATTATTATTATTTTTTAGAGCGGCAGCTCTTTGAAACAAACTTTGTCATAAGAAACTGCTAAAGAGGCTGCTTGGAACCGTTCTGCAGAGAAGAGGAAGTCAGAGCGGGGAAGGGGAGCAGTGACTCAGGGGAGACAGCTGCAAAAGGGAGGGCAGGGGGGCGGGTTCTGCAGCCCATAGGTGAAATCCAGAATGTTCTGGAGCAGGGCTGTGAGGACACTGCCTGGGAGTGCCTGGAGGGGTTTCCTACAAGGTCGGAGCAGGCACCTCGCCAAGCTCACAAGCAAGGAGACTGTAGATCCAAACCGATATGGACCACGTTGGGGGATGGTGGGTTGTGCTGGGGTGGAGATATGTGGTTTCCTGTTTTTAAACAGACTGTGTAGAGAGATTGGTTGAAAAGAGGGGAAAAAAAATGGTTCAAAGCTGTCAAATATTAAACTGTTTTCCACTGAGGAATTTTCTGGGGATATTAGAGAAATGCAGAGTGAAATCCTCCCTTAGAATACAATGGGGCTTGGCGCTGAAGGCGAAGTACGATAGAACACATGGCTATTTATTCATCAGTCATACACTGATAGAATTTCTACCACTAACAAAAGCTGTGTATTAAATTCCCGCAGTGAAATGGGCAGAAAGAGTGTTGTTGTTGCCAAAAAATAAAAAAATAAAAAAAAGCCCTTTACATTTGAGAGAACTAAAAGCAAACACAGAAGATGCCAAACAGTTTATTAAAGAGACAAGTTCTAGAAAAATCTAAGTGGGCCAAGTTCTTCGTTAGAACATTTGGTTATTGGGCCTTCAAAATGCCAAGCTCTGAATGTTGGCTGCCATTAGGAGAAGTGCTTTTAGGTGTGACCTGAAATATTTTCTTCCCTTTTAGAGGACATCCCAGCAGACATGTTTCATAAACATCGTCTGTAGTTAAAACTTTAGGCCCGGGGTCACTTGTGGTGTGGGTCTGGCACACCTGCGGCAGGTCTTCATTCAAGGAGGGGGAAGGCAGCCTGCTCGAACATGGAGGGCCAGTAGCCAGCTGCCCTTCACACGAGACCTGGGGCACTGAAGTCAGCATTGGCATGTTGGGTGCTCCCTGCAGGAAGACCAGGCAAGAAAAATCAAGAGGTCCATGCTGGCCTGTTGGCTGGGGGAGGACGAGGAACAAGGGTCCAGTCACCAGCAGGCATCATCAATCTTCCCATTGGCTTTGTTTTGTTTAATTCATAAGAATATATCCCTCCCCAAACCGGATACAGCACAAGCTTAGTTAACAAGATCATCTTACTCTTTTGTGTGGTGTGTAGACTTCTGAAAGAACAGTTCATTCTCCATCCAGATAGCACAGATCCAAAACATCAGGAATAACCATGTTGCTGCTGAATAAAAACCGACTCGCATTTTCCAGGCCTAGACTGGAATTTGGTCCTTCCATGTTTCAGAGAGCATGAGTTTCTGTGTAGGGAAGTATCCTCCAAGCGACAACAAGGTTCTCTTTTCAGCAGAAGCTCAGACAGCAAAGTCATTCTGAGGGAAAGATGTGGGTCGGGGCCAATTGAAGGGAGTGCAGTATATTGCAAGCTTCAGCTAGCAGGGAGCGAGAAGCCCTGTGGAGTAAAAATTATGCAGATAGAAAAAGAGAACCGACATCCAAGATGAGTGCCTTCTATGAGTCAGGCCTGGTGTTAAAAACTTTCAAATTTTAATCCCGAAAAGACTGAGGAAGTGTTAAATGATTTGACTAAAGTCACATACTGGAACGAAAAAGAATCCGTAGCTACAATGCCTCAGAATAGCATTTTAGGAAATGTTTCATGGAACAAATTTTCTCTTATGCCACCTTCTGAGTATCCTTATTCCTGGGTCAGTGTTACTCCTGCCTGGGACCCTATATTAGAGTCTACACTGGCATACCCAGAGACTTCACCAGCATCTCTCCATTCAGTGAGCACTTACAGAATCCCTCTGTTGTTGTGTTAACTCTCTGGTGTCCACAGTGTGAGCTGGTAAAAATTCTCTTGGGCTTTCTTAGTCTGATAGACTAAGCACAATTGATCATAAAAATTGCCTTTGACTTCTATCTCTTCATGCTAAGTTAAAACTTTTGTGAATATATTCAGTTACTGAAGGTGATGGCTTGCTCAATGCACAGTTTTCTTTGAGGATCATTTAAAATAATACTTGTGAAAGTAGCCAGCAGAGGGACTTCACACAGTGGGCACTCGGCAAAGCTTGTTGGATCCCTTGAGTTCTTTCTCCTTTTACATGAAAGCGGGGGTTAAGAAGAGTATACCACGAATGCACAGGTAAGAAATCATATGTTGTTCCTGTTGCAAAAGGAAATATTAAAGAATTCTGTTTCTAGTAATGTGTACCCTCCTCTGAATCGATTATAATATTTATTGTATCTAGCAAAATAGTCTCCTCTCAGGCATGGCTTTGGTTCTGATCCAGTTTTGAAGTTTTCAATGTTCCTCACCGGGCTGAGGTGGTAGATTTGGGGAAAGGCAGACATATCCTGGTCAGCAGGGAGCAGAGATTAGCAGGAGTGGCAAAGAATGTTGATGCTTTATAGGGACTTCTCTGATGGAAATCCCCTGCTTATGATACTGTCACTTCCTCTGTCTCTGTCTGTCTCTCTCTTCTTTCCCCTCCTCCTCTGCCCTCTGTTTCTCCTCTCTCCTCTCTCTCTCTCTCTCTTCCCCCTCCCCCTCCCATCCCTACCTCTTGTACCTAATACTCCTGGCCTGTGTGCCTAGACGCACAATCTAGCAACATTTAGCAGAGCCAGCTTTGGGACATGAGTTAAGTCCCCACAGAATTTGTCTCCAGAGCCAGAAGGAATTCTCTCCAATTCTCTCCATTGGCTATGCCTGTGTTCACTGACATTTCTCATCGTTCATGGAGTGACCTCTGGCTTCAACTAGGAAAGGGAGTGGTAAATAAAATCTAAAATTAAATTGTTTGTGTGGGAGTTTTTAAGGGAAATATAATAGTTATAGTCTCATTTTAAGGTTGATTCAGTTTATAAACAACCCTTACAATTCCCAGAACGTCTCATCTCTTCCGAACTTCTGAAGGAAACAAAATCCACTTTTGAGGAGGAAGGAATGACACGATGAGCCCCCAACTAGGGGAAAGCATGGGTGCGGAGGCAGTCACCTGGCTTTTCTGAAGCTGGGCAACAAAACACACCGCATCAGGGCAGGGGTGGGAGAGGAACAAGGGAATAAATATTTACTAAACCATCTAGGATAGTCCTAGAATTTTCATATTTTTTCTCCAATCCTTCAACCCCATAAAAAAACTATTATTATCTCCACTTTAGCGTTGGCAAAACTGAGGCTCAGTGAGATTAGCAACTTGCTTAAGTCCTGGAATAAGCCAATTGCAAAGCCCGGGTTTGAATGCCCAGCCCATCTGACTCAAAGTTCGTTGTTCTCTTGGACATAAAGATCTCCTTTCTCTGAATTAATTGGGTGATTTGTTTCATCTGAACTCATGAGTGTCACCTTTTCTTGTCCTCAACTCATTTAGAACTGCATTCGTGAACAAGACCAGTGTGCTCTGTCCTGAGATTGGTGTAAATTCTCGATTGTTTTTCACTTTCAGTGTCTTAGAAACTTTTCTAAATTTGCAGGTAAAAACATGGGTTTGTGCTATGCCATGTACGTGTGCTGTGAGTAACTATCCTAATTTAATGTGGCATTTTAATTGAGCCTAAGAAGATTAAGTCCCCATCTCAGCAGATCTAATGCTTGGCAATGCTTTGCTGAATAGCAAGGATGGGGGTGTGAGGGCTCCACTGTGAAAATTAATCTGTGTAGGCATCTGTGAAGCAGAAAATAGGGAAAATTGAAGTAGTAAGTACATGAGAAAGAGCTATATATATGCTTTGAGGCCTGACAGGTAGAGTCCACAATAACCTCATTAAATATATAATCGTTAATTCTCCATTTAATTTTTTCTGTGTAAAGAACCAAAGTCAAAAAGAAACAAACAAACAAAAGCAACTCTGCTCTTTGGCCAACAGTGGATGAGCCACTGAGGAAAGTGAGAAAAGCCCAACCAGAAGGTTCTATGCTGAAGAGCTGGGCTCTCTCCACCCCCACCTTCACTTCCTCTTTTCCTCTCCCATTCCACAAGCTTCTTTAAACTAGGGACCATTAGAGTCACTGAATTAAGGAGGGGCCCCAGTGATCTTCTAATGTAAGGATTTCATTTCGCAAAGGATGCAACTGGGCCCAGAGAGGTTAAGTGACTTGCACAAGATAACACAGGAACAGGGTTGCTCTGAGACCGTTATATGACACTTTCCTGCTTTGTCACAGTTGTCCCTGCGGAGCTTGCAGAGAAGCACTTACCTCTGCTGGTGCGCCCTAACTAGACTCCCAAGATGATGAACAAGCTCTAATTTCATGATAACTTCTTAATAAAGACAATGAAGCAACAGAGTACAGTGCCTAAAAGTCAAGCGACCTGCACTCAGACACTAATTCTGCCCCTTCCATGATATGTCTTCTCGGGCAAGTTGCTTAACATGTGCTTTAGTTTCCTGATCTGTAAAAGAGAATGATGATGCCCAGTAAGTTGTTGTGAGAACTGAATGAGATAAGCCTCTAGCAAGCACTTAGCACTATATGCAACAACTACTGCAATTATTGTCAATAATAAAGTCAGTTATTCTTTAGATGATAGGACTGGAAAACAGTATGTTTTCAGTATCTCTCTCTCTCTCTCTCTCTGTCTCTCTCTGTCTCTGTCTCTGTCTCTCTCTCTCTCTCCCTCCCCCTCATTCTTTTCTCAAAATGAAGATTCGAAGTGGCATCATTACAATTCTGTAGAGGGTACTGAAATTGCCTTGAGCTAGCGACTGGGTGCCGTGTCACCATCTGATGGCCAGGCTTCAAGCATGTGACTTGTTAGAACCAAGTGATATCTTCCAGAAAGGCCTGCCCATGGGGCCTGAGATGTCCCCCTCTGTGAATAGCCTTCCTGATGCTCTGTCAGCTGGTTTGTTATGTGGCCTTTACCCTCCTGGGGTCACCTGGGCTCTGGTTAGGCTCCTGGGGTCACCAGACAAGTCTCAGGTTGATCTTATCTGGTTTGTTTTTCATCTGCCCCCTTAACAATTGTCCCTTAAACTACCAACAACCTACAACAGCCACATACTGCATCCTTCATTTTTTTTTTCCAACCTGTTCATTCACTTTCCCTGAGTGTTGTTTGGAATGTGAGTTGAGTTAGTCACTGTGTTTATTCTGCTGTGCTCTCGAATCTCAGCTTTGAGTGGTGCTGTTTCTTCAGGTGAGGCAAGAGGGGCCACAGAAACAGGCCTGCATGTTTCCTGCCTGTACAGCAAGTGGGCTTGGGCATTGCAATGCTGTTTTCACAGTTGGCCAAGGCTCACTTATAGTGTTTGGCTTGTTATTTAGCTATAAGCAGAGTGACGAGCCAAAGGATATCAATTCCTTCTTTTCCCCTTTTTTCTTTTTAGTATTTTGGTTCTGTTAAATTGCTTTCGTTTGGCTTTACTTCCAAATTATTTTTCTTCATGTTGCCAATGATAGTGGCATGGAAACTCAGAACCATACCTGATTTTGACCCAAGATATCTTCATTCTCAGGGGACTTTATAAAGGTTTGCAGAGGCGCTCAGGATAAGATGTGATAGATATGATCTTACATGTGTGTCACCGAGAAGCAATGAAGACTTTACCCACAGGCAAGGAAGAGAGTTACCTTTGAGGTAGAACCGAGGGGAATCAGAAAATAATCTCCTGGTCCAGATAGCTCCCTGGCAGTCATCTTCCCCAGCTGCCAGCAACACACCTGAAATTCTTCCCACAGGGATTTGTTCCTCTTGGTTAGGACATTGCCTCTCATCCAGCTATGTGAATTTAGGCAATTCCCTTAACCTCCGGATCTCCGTTTCCTCAGCAATTGAATGAAGGGTTGGAATATATCACCTTAAAGTTTCATTTTGGCTCTGAAAACCGGTGACTATACATGCCCTATGAGGCACACTTTACAGCTATTATTCAATCATTAATACTTACATGTGGATAATTTAACTAGACTTCCCCTCAAAGTTTTGACACAAAACCATTAAGTGTAGACAATGCCGGAAGAAGGAAGACTCCAGAGTGTGCTGGGGGGCGGGGGGAGGGCGTTAGAGCATAAGAACTGCAAACCTGGGCTGGGGCAGGGAGGGAGGAACTAGAAGGGAGGTGGATCCCAGAAGGGGGAGATGGATGGAAGGATACTAAGGACAAATTCTTACTTACAATTTTGTCCCAAAGAATCTAGAGTGTCCTTTGCTATTTTGTAGCATTTCAAGAGAACAGAATATCTTTAGACATAGAACTTAATAAATCAATCAATGAGAATTTATCAAATGCCTGAACTGTTCAAGTGTTATGAGGGATTCGATAGAAACACTGAACCTGGTTTCCTCCCTCAAGAAGTGCTATTAGCAGTCTTGGGTGTGAACCATTCAGATGCCTCAGGCATGTGTCATAAAGGTCTGCAATTCTTCATGAGTCACCTTTGAGGTGTTGCAGTTGTCCAGGGAAAAGACTCAATAAAATCAGAATAAGTCAACCATTCCTGCCTCTGTAAGCCGTAATCACTGGGATTGTGCCCGCTGAGAGCTTTGCACGCACACCCACTGGCTTTGGCTGATCAGCTACCCCCGTCCCCTTTCCGAAATAGATCAAAATGACTGAAAAGGCTCCTGAGCCACACCTGGAGGAGGACGAGGATGACCTGGACGGCAAGCTCAATTACAAGCCTCCACCGCAGAAGTCCTTGAAAGAGCTGCAGGAGATGGACAAAGACGACGAAAGTCTGACCAAGTACAAGAAAACGCTGCTGGGAGACGGCCCCGTGGTAGCAGGTGTGTGCGGGGATGGAGGAGGTGGCGGGCCCCTGACAAGGCAGCCACTGCGGCCACTCAGGAGCAGGGGCACAGGAGCGACTGCTTCCAGGGCTAAGTGGGCAAGGCACGCTTGTATGTGCTGAATAAAGTTATGGGCTCTATCACCAAGCCCGCTTTGGGGAGAAGACGCAAGTTGGCAATGAGCTAGGTAATGATAACACGTAGGAGGGATTTAGGAAGAATTCCAGGCTACCACTTTGATTCATAGTCCCCTCCTCCATGAGCTCTCACATTTTCCCTGTTCTCTTTCCCTTTCTCAGTCCTTGACCTAACCATTCAACTCTTCCACATACACAACGACAGAACAAGACACGGCCCAATGATTTGAATGGGCGGTGCCCAACTAACAGAGTCCCTTGCTAGCCACTCAGGACCTGCTGATTGTTGATAATTACGGCAGCAATACAAGTGCCTGAAGCAGAAATAGCATCACTGTCATTTATAAGGCCATGAAGACCAAGCATAGTGAAGGTGCCGCTTCCATTTCCATTTCTACTCCAGATAGATCACTTTTCTTTTTTTGTATTTCCTCTCTCCCGCTTGGAATGCACACGCCCACTACACGCACATATCTCGTCCCTGTGCTGACATTTTCTTTTGAATCCTGCAGACCCAACAGCCCCCAATGTCACTGTCACCCGGCTTACCCTGGTTTGTGAGAGTGCCCCAGGACCGATCACCATGGACCTTACTGGTGAGTGGACACATCTTACTGCTCAGAGGGACCTATGGAGTCACAGAGAAAACTTGGTCTCTGTCTCCTGTCCCAGCAAAAGGAAACCCTAGTAAGGTGAATCTCCAAGATATATATGCTGGGATCAGTTTACAAATCATTGCTCTTAGAGTGCACACACAGTATTTATACCATGTTTAATGAAAAGTTCATAAATAGAGATAAATTATCTCTATTTAATTGAACAGGGTGCAGGCATACACACTTGATATATTTATTTATATCATATTTACTTTAGATTTTTATCTCCATGATAGTAAGGAAATTACTATTCACGTAAAAAAAAAAAAAGACTGCTGACGGAAATATTGAGAAACAAGTTGTGTGCTTCTGGAGTTGTAATCTTTACATAGTCTAAACATTAAAAAAAAATATTGATCTTATATCAGCTATAAGACTTACCTGAAAGCAAGAAGCAATTCTGAATAATGTTAGAAATTCCACTGCTGTATCCTCGCTGTTTTAGCTTAAAGCTCTCATTCTTATTAAATAAACAGCTTCCCCAACTAAAGGTGTACAAAGTAAGATGTCATTTTCTTTCACCTTATTGGGACTGGGGTCAAGCCCTTTGCTGAGATTTGGGTCCCAAGAAGATGGGGAGAGACTGGGAAGGTATAGACGGTGGGGAAATGGCATCTGAGAGGACTGAGGAAAGGAACACAGAGCCAGGACAGTGAGGGCATCAAAGGCAGGTCTTCAGTGAAAAGAAACAAGTTACCAAATTCAAGAATTGGACTTTTGTGAGACACAGCAAAGCACGAGTCTAGAACAGCAGGCTTAGCAGCGAGGCAGTTCCCCTCTCAACGCTGTATCCACTCTTTACCTTATATGGGCTCTTTTGTCAGAGGGAGGAAGTCAGAGACTGCAGAGACACACTTCCTGTTCAACTGAAATCATAAGAGCAGACACACACACAAATTCAATTGCCCTCACATCCTAGCATCTCTCCACCAGAACTCGTACTTCTTCCTGTGCAAAATCGTGTAATGCTACCAGGTACAGCTGCTGGTACACAACATAAGATCTGAATTAGCGCTAAGATGGTATGTTCTGTTCAGAAGGGCCTGACGGTATTACAAGGAAAACTTGGTCTCTGCCCCCTTTCCCAGCAGAGAAAACCCAGATTTGGTTTTCTGTCACAAAGAAGCTGCTGAAATGAATCCCACAGATATAAATACTGCTACCAGCTGTGTTCAGAAAGTACATGCACAGAGATGTGCAACACACACACACACACACTCACACACACACACGCGTGCATATCAAATTATACGGGATATCACTGAGAAAAGAACAGAGGATGATTACGCCCCTCAACAGGGTATAGGAATTAGCGGCAAATCCCAGGGGTTTTTTTGTTTGTTTGTTTTAATTTCAAAATATTAAGGGGGTACAAATTTACATTACGTGGATCATTTTTGTAATGCTTGAGTCCTGGCTATAGGTGTGCCTGTCACCCAAATAGTATTCATAGGACACATTAGGGTGGTTTGTTCCTCTCCTCTCCTCCCCCCTGCTGGATGCTTTCCACTGAATTTCACTTCCTTCTGTGCACATGTGTGCTCATCAGTTAGTTCCAATTTAATGGTGAGTACATTGGTGCTTGTTTTCCCATTCTTGAGATACTTCACTTAGGAGAATAGTCTCTAGTTCCATCTAGATTGTGGCAAAAAGTGTTAATTCATCATTTTTATGGCTGAGTAGTACTCCATGGTGTACTTATATCACATTTTGTTAATTCACCCATGAATTGATGGACACTTGGGCTGATTCTACATCCTTGCAATTGTGAATTGTGCTGCAATAAACATTTGAGTGCAGGTGTCTTTTTGATAAAAATGACTTTTTTTCCTTTGAGTAAATACCCAGTAATTGGATTGCAAGATTGAATGGTAGGTTTACTTTTAGTTCTTTGAGGAATCTCCATACTGTTTCCCATAGAGGTTGTACTAATTTGCAGTCCTACCATCAGTGTATAAGCATTCCTGTCTCTCTGCATCCACATCAGCATCTATTGTTTTGGATTTTGAAATCAATGCTATTCTAACTGGGGTAAGGTGATATCTTGTTGTTTTTAATTTGCATTTCCGTGGTGATTATTGACGTTGAACATTTTTTCATAGGCTTATTGGACATTTGTTTTTCTTCTTTTGAGAAGCTTCTATTCATGTCTTTTGCCTACTTTTTAATCTGTTTTTTTTTTTCTTTTTTTTTCTTGCTGGTTTGCTTGAGTTCTTTGTAAATTCTGGTTGGTAGTCCTTTATTGGATGTGTAGCTTGCAAATACTCCCATTCTGTAGGTTTTCTGTTTTCTCTGCTGATTGTTTCCTTAGCTGTGCAGAAGCTTTTTGGTTTAATCAAATCCCATTTATTAATTTTTGTTGTTGCCACAATTGCTATTGGGGTCTTTTTCATAAATTCTTTGCCTATGCCAATATCTAGAAGACTTTTTCCTACATTTTCCTCCAGAATTCTTATGGTTTCATACCTTAGATATCCATCGTTTATCCATCTTGAATTAATTTTTGTGAGAAGTAGGGGTGCTGTTTCATTCTTTTACATGTGGCTATCTAATTTTCCCAGCACCATATACTGGGGGTTCTTTTCCCCAGTGTATGTTGTTGTCTGCTTTGTCAAAGATCAGTTGGTTGTAGGTAGATGATTTTATATCTGGGTTCTCTGTTCTGTTTCATCAGTCTATGTCTCTACTTTTGTGATAGAACCATGCTGTTTTGGTTACTATGGCTTTGTAGTATAGTTTTAAGTCTGGTAATGTGATGCCTCCATATTTATTCTTTTTGCTTAAGATCACCTTGGCTATGTGGGCTCTTTTCTGGTTCTAAAGTGTAGAATTAAGTGGTACAAAGTGTAGAATTATTTTTTTTCTAGATCTGTGAAGTATGACTTTGGTAAGTTGATAGGGATTGCATTGAATTTGTAAATCACTTTGGGTTGTATGGACATCATAGCAATGTTGATTCTACATGTTCATGAGCATGATATGTTTTTCCATTTGTTTATATCCTCTGCAATTTCTTTCCTCAGAGTTTCATAGTTCTCCTTGTGGAGATCTTTTACCTACTTGGTTAAATACATTCCTAGGTCTTTTATTTTCTTTGCAGCCATTGTGAATGGTATTTGAGTCTTTGATTTGCCTCTTGGCTTGACTCTTATTAGTATATAGAAATGTTACTGATTTATGTACATTGATTTTGTATCCTGAGACTTTGCTGAATTAATTTATCAATTCCAGGAGACTCTTGGTGGAATCTTCAGCGATTTTTAGATACAAGATAGTATTGTCAGCAAACAGCGATAGTTTGACCTCCTCTTTCCTGATTTCAATACCCTTAATATTCTTCTCTTGCCTGATTTCCCTGGCTAGGACTTCCAGCACTATGTTGACTAGAGTGGTAATATTGGGCACAGATCCCAGTTTTTTCAGTGAGCTTCCCTAAGAAAAATGATATGAAATTATAAATATAAATACAAAAGTAAGTCCAAAAGTGAATATTTATTTAGACTGATAAAAAGGAACAAAAACAAGTGAATTTTTAAAAGCTAGAAAATGCCACAACATTCCAAATCTATAAAAACAAATAGATGACACTCCTAGATAATGATTTTCTCATATTTCTTTATTTGAAGGGTGGGGACATATTCTTTAATTAAATCTTGATTTGACCATTTATATGCAATATCATTTTCAATAGAGAGAATAAAAATATAATTTAGACTTTCCTCTAGAATGGTTCATTAAAACTTGTTTTTAGTATTGACAATTAGAAAAGATTTACCTTCGTAACTCATTACTGGTAATGCTTTGTATATTTTTAGCATTGTCATGAAACTTGGGGGCAGGAAAACTCTATCACATTTCTTTTGAAACTGAGCTGCAAGCATTCAGGCATTGCAAGTGTGTATACAGGGACTTATCTCAAATACTCTTTGAATTGAGTGCCCTATGGACCATCATCCTCTGATGGCCCCAGCAAATGGCACTGGAGCTTAAACTTCATTCATCAATTTGTGCATCTACTTCTGAGGATAAACTCTTTCTAAATCCTCGTCTACAGGGGATGTTGCAGCCCTCAAAAGACAAACCTTTGTGGTAAAGGAAGGTGCTGAATACAGAGTCAAAATTAACTTCAAAGTAAGTATCTCGCTCTGTGTGTGTTTTATAAAGTTTAAATCTTTCCTATGATCAGTGACAAAATTTCTTGCATGATCATGTTGGCATACTTGTTGTTTCTCCCCCCACCCCGACCTCCACCCCTACCTGAATGTCTTATTCTCAACTCTCAGCTCTACCTGTTGAGACCTGCTATTGCTTTGTGCCTTCCCCCAGCCAGTACTGGTTAAACTGTCCATTGCCACTTAAGCCCATGGGATCACTCTCTCTATGAATTTCTAATATAGCCATGAGGCACACATTGTTTCATATTGTACCATCTGTGTCAATCCTACTTTATACAACATAAGCACCTTGAGGTACAGTAAAATTATATATCCCTTCTTTCCAGTATTTCACACAAAACTTTGTATATGGTAGATATTTATTGAGTATATATTAAGAAATGAACAAATGAATGAATCAGCTAATAGGAAAATAGAACAAATAGGGCCTCAGCTCTCATTGCTCAATGGTTGTATAAATCCAGGGAGTGTGGTCTTTGCTAAGTAACTGGAAATTATAATTATAGTGGTGGAGCAGGTGACCAGGTAAGAGCAAAACTAAATAAGGAACAAATTGACATCTTATGAATAGCCATATATCCCAAAGAATAGCCAAAATCACAAGAAAAGTAACCTTGACTTTGAAAACAAATAATTCAGAAATGCACTGTTTGCACCTAATGGTTTGTGTTTGTCTTGGCCGCCCCTCATTCCCTCTCAGCCTTATTCTCCAGGGCCTGGGCTCCACCAAGGAAGCTTCCATCCATCTATTTTCTCTATTTGCACACTGGGACCTTCTTTCCCTTAGGTGCAGGATATGATTCAGGGTCAAGGGACAACCACTCACCACATACAAATATGCCTCAAAATAATTTCATTCTGGAAATATTTGCTGACACCTCCTCTATAATAGGCACTGAGCTATGGTTCACTTACTTATTTTCTGTCATTTATTACTGAAACACCTGAGGTTTGGTAAGGTATTATATCTAAATATGCCTAGAATGGGTTCTATATCAGTTCAATTTGTAATTATTGATGCTGTTGCATTAATTTTTCAATGTGTCGATTTATCAAGTGAAATGTGACAGGTAAATTTTGATGTGAATAAGATGAGAAGGAAAGCTCTGGGTGTGGGCTTCTGCTGTGGGTATAGGCCAGGGAGGAATGCAGTGGTGTGGCCCTGGGGGGTCTGGTTACACATTAGGGTGATGCAGAAGGGGGAACAGGGAGGGGCTGCCAAGCCCCATCCATGTCACAGGTTTGACCCCTCTCTGTGTTACCCATGTAAAGCTGAACCCTGTGGCCTGTCCCAGCATGTGGCTACAGTTACAAGAAACACCAGAGCAAAGTCAAAAAATAATTGAAAAGCAATTAAAGTTCTTACTAACATCTCTTGAAAAATGCCCAAGAAAATTCGCATGCATAACACCACATCCTAAAACCCTCTTTCCTTATCTCTGTTAGTTGCTCTCAATGTTCTTCTCTTTCTCCTCCCAAACTTTACAGCATTTTCTAAAAACCTGGCCTAGGATGGTTCCTTTAGTTACTCTCTGCCTTTCCTTCTGCCTCCAAAGGAAATGTAGTATCTCTGACTTCCACAGGTCTCACTTTTAGTGATATCACAGAGGCTTCTTCCTCCTGGGGTGGGGGAGACACACTGGGAGGGGTTGCAGACAGAAGAAGATGATACTATGAGTAGTCATACTTTTCTTTTACCCATCCCAAATGTAGGGACACTCTATGGAGCACTGATAAAACAGCAAACTCTTTGTGTTGAAGTTCTTACTGCTATGCCACTGCTATTTTTCTTCCTAAATATTTTTGCCACTGAGTCACATCTGCCATGTGGTCCAAGGGACAAGATTAGGGACATCTAGAAAAATGTATTAATTTTCCCCATTCCTATGAGCTATATCTGGGATTCAGTGTCATTAGAAAGTTTGGGCTTCATTTTGCCACCATCTCTTCAATAAAGCTGTTTTCATTTTGCCTGCTTTTGGTAGGTTTATTCTACAGATTTCCTAAGTGACAATTTAGAATCGAAGCTGGCAGCGTTCACTATTCTGCTACCTCCCTGCCAACGAAACAAGAGATCATAGCACAGGTTGATTGGTTTAACTCTCATGGCCAACACAATAAGGGAGTCATAATTATTGTTGGGGAAAAATTATTTGAAGATGCCTCCATTCTTCATATTGCTGAATAGTTAACCAAGCCCTCCAGCTAATGATGCAATGTCCACTTCAGTTTGTTTGTATAGACATGACCACTGTATAAAATTAACAGACAACCCAGGTCACTCCCAGGTAAAATGAATCATGGAAAAACAAAGTTGCTTGGGCTGTCTATAGTTTCATTCTGCTCTAGTGAATTTTCTTTGACAGGATTGGGAAAATAGCAAGTCTCAGACAACGCCTGAAAATGACAGATGTCCAAAATGCTTGCCAGATGCAGGTGGATTTCACCAATTATTTGTGAAGAAGGATGTTTTTGTGTGGCCCACCTCACCCCTAGACTCCACTCTCAGTTACATTGCAGGCACCACCATCTTCTAGACCGGATTTTCCATTACAGCTTTTCTCCTTCTTGTTTGTTTTCCATGTGCTAGGTGGATCATTTATGGCATTATGGTTTTTGGATATTTACAAAATATTTTCCATTGGTATCTTCATAACATTTTCTAAGACAAGGATGGTTTCCTGGCTAGAAATACTGGGGAGGGGGAGGTCCAGGCCATTCTTTGGACCACTGAGGAAGGAGAAATACCGTGAAGAATATTGAGAGGAGATTTTAATGAACCACCCCCTGCCCATAAATAATAAAAGTCACAGTATTCACTAATTAAAACCAGACTGACAACACTGTGATCTCCTCTCTCTAATTTCTGCATCATGACCATGCTAAATGATTGTAGGAACACTTATTCTGAACTAAGTCTTCAGTCTTTTCATTCTCAAAGAAGATTCAGGTAGGCAGGATCAGCAAGAAAGATGAGGAAAAATGAAAGACCCTCTTTAATCTGAGTTTCTTGGATTCTTCCCGCCTACAGGTGAACAAGGATATTGTGTCAGGCCTGAAATATGTCCAGCACACCTACCGGACTGGGGTGAAAGGTAAGTGATACTTCATACTGTCCCAGACTGCTTCTCACTGATACTGAAATGTCTGGTTATTAACAATTGTGAGTCATAGACTCATGAGAATCTATAAAAGCTGTGGACAGGGACACATACACCTCTGACCTAGACATTAATAGCAAGGCCAATGTTCAGGAGAACTAGCTGAGACTGGGACAGCCACAAACCTTCAGCAATCAGCTTCTGGAATTCAACTTTATTACTTATAAAGAGGAGAGTAAGCAAGATAAGTTTGAATGATACAAAGTACATAAAAATACTCTCAAAAGTGAAAAACGCAGTTCATGGGTGTAAAACCCAAGTGTCAGATAAATCCAAGACAAGAAAACCTGTCCAGTGGTATGTGTGTTAGGGGTGGGAATTGGGGCAGTGGCATTGAGCAGGGGAAGTGCTCAATTTGCTAACAAAGAAATAGAAAAAAAATAGCCTTTCTGGGATTGAGAAAAGCTATCTGATTGAAACAAATAGTATGACAACATTACCTAATCTGCAGTTCTCAACATGCCTTGGGAACCTGGTTTCAGTTTCCTTAGTTAATATGGGCAGAGAGAAATGAGAGACAGAAGGTGATGGAAAGACCTTTACAGTCCTTTACACCTGAGTTGCTCTCTTCTCTTCCCAGAGGTGGGAAACAGCAAAGCATAAGTCAGTTCCATCAAATTAATAAACACAAGATTAGGGGAAAATTGTCTGATAAATCTGAATGACATGGAGAACCAATTGCTCAAATCCCAGAGAAGAACACTGACCTGAAAGATATTGATTGGCCTTTCCAATACCTAGTCTCATGAAAAAATAGTTCAATTTCCTATTTTCCTTCGGGCATAAAGTCTATATTGCCTCACTTAGGCAAAAGAACAATGACATGTCTGCAGCTGTTCCTTCCAACTTAGTAACAACAGTTACCAGCCGGCTATACGCTGCTTGTCTATCGGCCTAACGTTATTAACACTTTTCAATCCTCAACTCTTCTTTATATCCCATTTATTCACCTGTAAATAAATTTGGTTGGCTGTCTTTACCATTTGTCTCAGTGCTTCACTTTTTTAACCCGACTTACTGATTTTCCCTTTCCATTCAAGTATTCTAGCCATGAATTCTGCTCATTTTTTTTTATTTCGGCATATTATGGGGGTACAGATTTTACGGTTTCAATAAATGCCCTTTCCCCTCCTCCCCCCACAAGTCTGAGTTCTGTTGCCTAATCTCCCCCAACTGATATGTTCATACAATGACAGTTTGTACATAGAAGTCCATTTTCTAGAAAGAGAAATGGAGCCTCAAAAATTTATGTGATTAGGTCATTGCAGGGCTGAGATCAGAACTCAGGTCTCAACTTGTTTGTTTGTTTGTTTGTTTGTTTGTTTGTTTGTTTGTTTTTAATGGTATAATTTGCTTTCTCTCTCGCCCACCAAAAAAAAAGTGTCCCCATTGACTTAGGGCACTGATTCCCCAACTTTTCTGAAACTCAGAGTCAGCTGTGTTGATTTATAAAAACGCCGACTCTTTGGATCCAGGGCAGGTTACTGAACCCTAGCCTTTGGGAGTGGGGCAAAAGAAACTGTATTATCAAAAGGCATTGCAAAATTTTAAAAAAATGTTTTAAAGAAAAATAAAAAAAAAAAAAAAATAAAACCAGACTTGCCAGGTAACTCTGATGCTTAGCCAGGCTTGGAAACTATGCGGAAACTCAAATTCTCCAGGTCGCGTGTGTTTTCCTCTCCGGGACCTCTTACCCTAATGACTTTTCCTCTTCCTAGTGACAAATGCAACATTCATGGTTGCAGCTACGGCCGGCCCGAGGAGTACGATTCCTCACTCCCATCGAGGAGGCCCCAGAAGGCGTGCTGGCGGGCACGTACCACAACAGGTCCTCTTAACAGACGACGACAAGAACGACCACCTCACCTTGGATTGAACCTGTCTCCATTAAGGAGGAGTGGACAGAATGAGTGCGTCTCCCAGATCCCTCTCCCCACCTTGCCCCCTGGAAGGACACCCCCCAAGCCAGCCACGTTCACCACCCTGTCCCTCCCCATCCACGGCTGGTCCCCCCTACACACGGCCCTATTGAGCGCCTCATCCCGCCCCGTGGTCTCAGTGCTCCCCAACACGCGGGCTTAGACCTGGCCTTCCCCCGCCTGTCGCCGGATGCTCCACCGGGCCGAGCGTCCGCATTCTCCATCTCACCACCACGCGCGGTCCTGTTTCCCGCCCGTCACTCCCATTTCGCCACCTGGAGGCCAGGAAGCTGGAAAACCATCGCCAACTAGTCCCTCTGCCTCGGTTCCCCACCCTTCCCCATCCCTGGATTCCTCAAGTGGTTGCTGCTGGCGCCCATAACGCTCCCTAGCAGCCACCATCCCCCGCCAGTTGGGGTCCTTCTTTTGTGGAGACGCTGTAAACAATGCTGTAGAGAGTATGAATAAAATGACTGTTTGTTCCGAGACCCTCGTTTTTTTTCTGTGTTTTCCCCCTTGAACAAACGTGGCAAGTGGACGATCTCCCATTTGTGAGTGCCCTGCGAGGGCGGGGGGAGAGGGGACACTCTAGAAGGGGTGTTTACATCATCACTGGGGGCACATTGGTCCTCTGATACGCTGCAATGGGCAATGGGCATCAGGATGCGGCAACGGAAAATCCAAGTGTATTATGATTTCTCTTTAATAGTCTCACGTGGAGCTTATCCTAAGCTCGAGACCTCTAGATCCCAGTGCCCGTGGAAATCTCCCCTGGGTTTGTTCTCAGGCACTTGCCAAATCAAATATTGACTCTTTCTCCTGCTTGAGACCTTGGGC